ATTATCTAAAAAAGTGCACCTCGCTTGGAGCAAGTGAATATGCAAACAGCACTGCTGAACCTCTCTTTGTTTAAAGGGATATCAGAATCTTCTAAGGTTTGGTTTGCACTGGTTTTAAGGCAAAGGTGCCCAGCAGGAGGGAGCAGAGCTGCACAGAAGGCAAGATTTGGGTTTGCTGCCTCCATTTCACATAGTCCTACAGGATTTAAAGATAAATCCTACCGTGTTGAACTGCAGTGTCTGACTTGTCCCTGTCAAAGTGCTGTGAACATGAAGAATGTGACCATTTCTCCATTAGCAAAGCCTCCATCACTGATCCTGCTCCTCCTTGGAGCCTTTCCTTGGAGGAGATTTAATTCCACTGACATGTGTTCCAAACTGGAGTGATAACTGGTAAACTTTCCCTCTCCAGCCCGTGATGTGCTGTCAAACAATCCTCCTAATTGTGTTCACAGCTCTCCTTTGACTGAGTGTTGGTTGCTGCCTTTAGTTCCACACTTTGGATTCTACAGGACAAAAGGCAGAAGGTGCAGCTGTGGCTTTCTGAAATCCCAGATCACTGCACATCAGGGCCAGGGAGGTGGCTCTGTGGACATCTGCCATGCACTGCTCTCTGCCACTGAGTGTCACCTGCGGCACTCCAGCAATTTTCTGCCCTGCTGAGGCTGTTCTGGCTGATTTTGTTGTTCAGGATTGTCTCCCCAGTCCCGTGGAGCAGATCTGTCCACAGAGGGTGAGCTGGCAGGCCCCACTCTGGGCTGGGCTAACAAGGCAGAAACAGCTCCACTTGATAACAAGCAATAAAACCTGAAGCATCATGTTTATCTGAAGCCTTGTCTTGACTCTTTCTTCAGATGGATTCTGCTCCAGTTCTGCAGAAACCACCACAGGTGTAGTTTTGTTGCCACTGTGAAGTTGCTTTGGTTCAGGGGATGGCTGAAGGTCCCTTTTCCTTCACTCAATGTTTGGCATTAAATGAATAAACAACTACTAAGAAGTTTCTTTCCAGTCCCTACTGGAAAGGGAGTTTGAGCAATGCCAAGGAGAAGGTAAAGTAGGGCATGACAAGAGCTGAGAGATGCTGTTATGGCACTGTACAATGAATAAAAAGAAATTAAAGTCCCTCCTAAACTTGATTCTCTCAGTTTTTGCCTCAGACTGTGCAAAATGAGAACTGATGGTCTGTGAGGGAATTAAAAGATCTCGAGTCATACCAAGAAAGGGGAAGATTGGCAGCAACAAACTCCTGCCTGTGTCTCTCCTCTGCTGGGACTGCTGTGTGCTCATCCAGGTAATTCAGATGCTTTTCCCCAGGAGGTGCCTCAGGGAACTCTGCATCCTTTCAAGCCCCTACAGAATGAAGCCTGTGGGACCAGTGAGAGGATGCCAAAAGCTGAGGGGACTTCATATGACTGGTGTTTGTGCTAGATAGGTTTGTATTCACCTGGATAAGCCAGAACATCCTGCCCTTTTTGGTAGAGAAGAGGAAATAATCTGAATTTTAACATCCTGAGCAGCAGGGACCCCACCTTGCTGTACTTTAGGAACAGAACAGCTCTGTAAATCCCAGAAAGGGAAACCTCCAGGAAAGGAGACTCCTCTTGCCCTATAAAAGCAAATTCATTGCTTTGTCCTTATTTCTTTCTGCCTTTTGATTTTTGCTGTGAGGCATCTTTCCCTGCCCAGGGAAAGGAAGGTGGAAGCTCTGAAAGCCTTGTTTGTAAGGTACACACCCCGGGGCTTGCCCAGCACTCTGGGTGTGCCCAGAGTTGAGAGCCCTGAAAAGAGCATTTGAAGGGCTCAAAAGGGGCGAAAGAGAGACAATCAAAATGTATTTCTGGGGGTGTTCATGAAAAACAAAGGGTGGAGAAACGACAAGCAAGTTGGAGTCAATCTGTGATTTAATTGAAAGGTCTGGTCAGCAACTGATCTGTTTTAGGATCTGAATCCTCAAGGAGGAATCGCTGGAAAGGGGAGATGCCAGGGAAGAAGGGCACTGGGGTTGGCTTTGGGCAGCAGCTCCAAAGCTGCAGCTGGAACATCCACACAAGGCTCAAGAACAGGATCATTTTCAGGCATAGTTATTGTCGTGACAGTAGGTAAGGGCCAAATACTGAAGGGCATCAAGCCTAATGCATGATCTGAGGCTGAGTGGTGGTCCTTGAAAAACAAGAAAATTTAAAAAAAAGAAATTACCCTGAGATTCTGGCTCAGATGCTGTTGAGTGATCTGTGCATTTGTAGACATCCTCTAGCACCTGGCACATTGCACTTGCCTTTGGAACCCCACTGAGCCCCCTCAGGTGCCAAAGCAAGCAGGGAGTAGAGGGAAATGCTGCCATGCTAGAGCTGAGCCCGAGCTGTAAAGCAGCTTTCCATGACAGGGTTGGAGACAATCAGCTTGCAGGAAGTCCCAGAACACTTTGATGGTGTTCAGGATGAACTCCTCAGTTTTACACTCAGTTCCCTTGGATACATTTAAAACAAATGTCCTTTTTCCCATCAATAGAAAATTCTATTGCAAGTGATCAAAACACAATTAAGGCACCCACAGCTGATTTCTACCAATCTCCACACCCACAGCTGCCACTCCTGGTTTCTGTCCATCTCGAGTTGGAAGAGGAGCAATTTGTGCAGCAGTCATTGCCCAAGGGAAAGAACCACCAGGTCGGCAACACTCAGAATTCACTCGTTGGTACTCACCCTGAACTTCATAAGCCACGTAAGTTGTAAGTCCTCTGCACATGGAGAAGGTGTCTGGTCCATAAGACTCGAGGTCCCGGACATTCCTCTTGATGAGGGTGAACAGAATCTCCTTTGCAGGTGGTCTTGGACGGTTGTGTTTCTAAACACCAAATGACGGCACTCAGCAAGATCCGTGCTGTGATCTGCTCCATGCCCATGTATATCCCCAGTTTTAATTGTTATAAAAGTCATAAGAATAATCTAAGTGATCTAGGGCATCGGCAAAACATGAAAACCCTCCACTGGAAGCATCTGAACAAGGGTGTTCTAATTGTTCAAAGGTTTCAAGATAGATTGATGCAAAATGCCACTGAAATCAATAAAAGTGCCTAATCAGTGGTGTGATGAACATGACTTTTGCAGTACCTGTTGGTTTAGAAGCTTTTGAAAATAGCCTAGGGTGTCAGTTTACTTTGCATTAAGTACAACTTTTCAAGTAACTCCTCTTTTTCAGTCTTACCCTGCTCTCTGCAGCCAGCTGGGGAAGTGCATCAAAGCTGGGCATCTCGGTCCTGTTCATGATGGAAATGTAGCAGGCTTTCTCTGGCAGCACTTTGGTTGCCATAAAACCCTGTAAAACAAAGTTATTGACCGCTCATCGAACTCATTCCTTCAATCATCAGTGCTGGAGTTAAGTCCATATTAGAAAGGTAACAAATCAGTTTTTACTCAGTGTATGAGCCAGTGGCCTCGTAGAGTCTCCAAAAGCACCTTCCCCACCTCTCACCGTGTCGTAGTTCCAGAGGGTTTTCCATGACCCATGGTGGGTCCTTTGCTCCACACTTGCCACCAGCCAGTATTTATTCATGGTCATAATTTGGTAGCCTCCAGCAGTGGAGATTTTCTTGCTTACTTCCACCTTCTGAGCCTAGAAAACCAGATGAAAGTACACTTGGACTGACTTTCGAGTGATTGAGTTGTCTCCCCAAAGCTTTAGGAAAATGAAAGAATCAGGGAGATCTCCCAAAGCAGGGGACATGGAAACAGCAGCTGTGAATGTGGGAACTGGTCACTGTACTCACATGCTCACCAAGGGCTGGAGTCAGGACGAGTCCTAGAAGGACTGCAGTCAAAATCTGAAAGGAAAATCAAATACAAAAATGTAACTGCAGGTCTGGCTGATGAATCCAGTCATGAGAATCTCTGTGCCCTTTTCCTAATCTGCTGTTGAAGTGTCCTCCTTGGATCCTCTTTTGCTTCCATCCTGGCATTGCAACAGTGCCCTAAAGGAGTCACCTTTGCTTTACCCCCGGAAAAGCTGGACACGTTTCCCAGTTGCTGTTTCAAGAGCTGAACCTCAAGTTGCTTCTGAGACCTGTGCAGGCACACACGGGTATTTTACAAGAGTGAGGAGAAAGCTTTTCCATTTCTTGTGCTGTGCCATTACAGGGGAGTGGTTGATCCATCAGTGCAGTGCTCCAGCTTTGCAAAGGCATCGACAAAAATGGCCATGGCTCAAGCTTCGTGTGTTCTGCTTAATGAAGAGCCCAGCTGTGGGGAAAATCCTTACCTCGTCAGCTGGTTTGGCTAATGAGGGCTGAGCTGCTCACTCTGGAGGAGCAAAATGTCCTCAGAGAAACCTCTGTGCTCTGGGCAGGCAGAGGCACTTTGGAGAGAAAATTTAGTTTATAAGGAAGAAAAGCTTGTGTACTCACAGGGAGCTTCATCCTGACTGCAGAGCTGATGCTCCTGCAGGTAGAGAGAGCGATGTGAACCTCCCACCTTATATATGTTTTCAGAATT